GGAGCTTATGCATTTCGTTCAGCAAGAATTTTAAAACAATATTGTATCCAATTATTAGATGAAGCTGTTGGATCTTCAGGAGAATATTATACAACCAATATTATTAAATTAATGTTAGAAGATCAAGAACGTTTTGTTGGAATTGAAGTTAATATTAATGATTTTGTTTGTGTTGGAATTCCTGTTCAATTAATTGACTTTTTAAAAAAACTCAAAACGGACCAACATTCTTATCCTGTTAGAAAAATGAGATTTTGTTTTGATTTGGATAATACATTAGTTTCTTATCCAACAAAATATGGAGATTATAGTACAGTTCAACCAAAAGCACAAAATATTCAATTAGTACGAGAATTACATAAGGCTGGACATTATATTATTATTCAAACAGCACGAAGAATGAGAACACATCATGGTAATGTTGGTGCTGTTATTGCTGATATTGGACGAGTGACATTAGAAACATTGGCTCAATTTGAAATTCCGTATGATGAAATTTTTTTTGGAAAACCATATGCTCATATTTATATTGATGATTCAGCTATTAATGCATTAATTGATACAGCTAAAGAAATTGGATGGGTACTTGACAATACTGAGTCCGATGGAGAAAAGGATAAAAAAATAAAACCTTTTATTACTTCTCGAGATTTACATACGATTGAACAATTAGATAATCTTATTATTAAAACTTCGTCAATCGATGATTTACGAGGAGAAATTTATTTCTATGAAAATATTCCATTGAATATTAAGGATTTATTTCCACGATTAGATCGCATTGAAACAAATAAAGATGCGGGAGTTTCATCACTTGTTATTGAAAAAATTAATGGAATAACTTATTCACATTTATTAACAAATTCTGTTTTAACTCAAGATCGTTTACAAAAACTTTTATTATCTTTAAAACGTATTCATTTATCATTACCAATCGAATCTGTAGCATCCCAAACAAATATTTATTTGAATTATTCACCGAAGATCTTATCACGTTATAATCAATATATTGATATTTATTCAAATTTAGATAAACATTTTCAATCATCATTAATTCATTCGAAAGAACTATGTGATTATTTAATTAAATATTTCAATGATTATGAAACATCTAAACGTGGTCGATATAATTCAATAATTCATGGTGATCCAGTTTTTAGCAATGTTTTATTAACACCACAAAGTGATGTCATTTTCTTGGATATGAGAGGTTCTCTAGGAACACAACTTACTTTAGAAGGTGATTTAAATTATGATTTAGCAAAAGTCTATCAATCATTAACTGGATATGATTTTGTTTTATTAAATAAAGTCGATTATTTCTCAACAGATATGGTGAAAAAGTACATGTCTGAACTTATTGAAACATTTCAAACGTTTATTTCAAAAGAATATACAAATCTTACAAATTTCGATGAGTTAAAAATGATTACAGCACAATTATATTTCACTTTAATTCCATTATATAGTGATTTTCAAAAACAAATTCAATTTTATAAAATTGCAGTTCAACTTTATAATGAAAGTATTTCACAACAATTAGATTCTATTCAATTAAATGACAAACATTTATAGAATTTACTTTAAATATTATTAATTATTACATAAATAACATTTAAATAAAAAATCTTTAATATTTTTTTTTATCTTTTGTAAAAAGCTTTCACCAAGAGAAATTCAAAGACGGATGGGTGTGGATTAGAGCTCTCAGTAAATTTTTCTACTTGGAATCTGATAGTTGCTTCGAAAATACAATATATTTTTCTTATTCTCATATTCAACGAGTAGTATACTGTATTATTTAGATGATTCGACAGTGACCTCTTATAACGATTAAATTATAATTGGCTGCCACCTGTAGTCAATAGCTTCACACGGAAGAATGAATATATATATGCATTATTTTATGATTATTTCGTTTAGATAATTTATTATGACAATTATATTTAGATATTATAAATAGAAAGTTTTGTTGTTGTTGTTGTTCTTTCTTTATTTTTATAAATAAATTAAAGACTTTTTCTATGAAATGAATAAAAAATTAAAGAAATTCAAAAAAATATTATGATGACAACATATTTCTTTCGATCGGGACTCGGTCAGTAAGAGCTTCGATACTCGGGCGGGACTCGACGGGCCTAGTGTGGATATAAATACGAGACACTCTCGCCCTACACCAATCTTTTCTATATTTTAGTTATAAAAAGTATAATTTATGCATTGATACACACATCGACTTTTATTTCTGTTACGTGAACTTGTTTACTAATAAATATGAACAATTCCAATATCAGAAAAGTTTTCGATTCTAATCAATCGGCTATTGCATTCGAAGATTATGATGATCAAACTTTGGATCCCCAAATCCTGTCTACATTGACGGATTCTTATTTACCAAATGTTCTCGGCTCATTTAATCTTATAAAGCCTCTCCCCTCAGATCCTAAAAATATTATAGATTATGATCGCTGCGTCCGAATACCTCCTCAAACTCCTTATTTCCACAAACCAGAGCTTTATTCAATGTTTCCACGTCGATCACGTCGTCCCCGTCACCATCCACCAGAATATAGCTCACTCCTTCCTCTGCTCATTGCCGCCAAACGTAATAATGTAGCAGTAGATCAATTTGATATTGTCAGTGAGAGAAATTCATTCAGAAAAATTGCTATGAATAAAGGAGATTATGTGATAAGTGTGATGAAATTTGGTTCTACACTATTTCTAAGACGACACGATGATAAAAGAGGTGAGTGGAACAATGTTGGACAGCAATTTGAACGAATGTGTACACCTGGTTATCATCGTATCGGTACTTACAATCAATTAATCGAAGGACATATTGGCAACCTAAGAACAATAATAGTAGCTGAAACTGATGCGATATCTATAGAAGATGGGAAAGCAATTGAACTCAAGTGTCGTTCGAATCAGCAGATTAAAGATCGACATGATTCTTGGATAGAGACGTTTTTTGGTAAGTTTAATAGTCAAATCAAGAAGGATTATTTCAAAAATTATTCATCTATGCAATAGATATAGATCTATCATGATTCATTCCCGTCTTATGTTGTTGTGGAAAACAGGTGAAAGGAATAATAAATAATAAAAAAATATTTACTTGTTTCAGAAATATTTCATAAGTAATTAGACTACTTTTCGAAATAAGCGATCAGCTGATAGTTTGACATGTTTTTCATAAAATGATGTGTATGGTATTCTATCAGAATTTGCATAAGAAAATACTGAATCATTTTTTATCATAGTTAAAAAAAACGACTGAAATTATTAATTTAATCACCTTAATATACTTTTCGACAGTGTTAGATTTTGTTTATTTTTTTAGGTGGAGTGGAAACAATTTTCGTTGGTTGTCGTTCGAATAGTGAGCCACCGCAACTTCTAAGTATTGAACCTCATCCTGCCTCTACAATGATCGGTGATCAAAACAAAAAAGCAACTTTAGCACATCTTTATCGAGTTCTTCGTTTTCTTTTGGTCAATGTTGAGACAAATGGAACTTATTTATTTTCTCGTCATTATGATCAACGTATTGGAAAAAAAGGCTTGTATTTATATAAAGTGGCTGACCAACATGAAGAAGAACTAAGATTTATCTCTCAGCAGATGCTCGATCAATTGGATTTTAAATTTTAGACACGTTTTAACGCATTTTTCTAAATTCAATACACTCACAAGAATAAAAGTTTAGAAAGAAAATAATTATAATTCAAGGTTGACTAAATAACGCTTGCATAAGTTATATCCTAAAATTTATCCAAGATTTTCATGTGAACTAACGGTAAATCATGAAAAGTGAGAAACTAATGAAACATTGCTCAATGAAATTCTTACGAGAGCATTCGTCGAAAACTTTTATTTTTGAGTTGAGGTTTCCACCTTGTTCAGCATTATCGAAAACCCTTAAATCCAAATTTTTAGCGCATTTGACTGAAGTGGTGAAAAGTTGGCTCAATTTTATTGTAAAGCACTAAAGAGCTTATTTGAAAAATATTATCAAAAATCATCTCTATGAAGGCAGGTTTCTTAAGATAACAAAAAATGTACGAAATGTGTATTGTAATATACCAAAAGATAGAGCCTTGAAAGCCAAGGAAAATGAGCTATTTACTTATTAAATATTTTTCAGTATTTCAGCTGCCATTCAGTCATAGTCAACAACATAAAGAGCATGTTTATATTCTAATTCAAGTTAATATATGAGATCTTAACTCTTGTATTCGAACGATCAATTCACACTCACAAATGAATTACATTTTATTTTCACTTTATTCTATTCTATTATCGATTAGATAAGATTTTTCTCTGAAGTTCTATTATCAAATTAAAAGAATAACTCTGACATTGAGAATATAGGTAAAAAAGAAGTAAGGATCTGAAAGTTGCTTGTTAATTATAACATATAGATATTGATTCAATATTATCGTTATATTAAATTCATTTTATTTTATTTCACAAAATCAAACAGAACACAAAAAGAATTTATACAATATTCAACTCATTAATTTATATAATGTTGATGAATAGCAGCAGGAATACCAGTTATAGGTTGAGAATATTGATTACCTATTGGAATAAAATCAACTTCACGTTCAATATTAACACGTCCTGTATATGGATTACGATAAAGTTCAACATCTTGTGAATAGATTCCATAACCATAATTACCAAAATCAATAGTTTGATAATTTCTAGTCCAAGTATTATTCATTGGAGTAATAGCAGCAATGGGTTGAGCAAACATTTTGTTGATAATTATTAAATGTAATAGACAGTGAATTTGTATTGGTATGAATGTATGAAAATGAGAAAGAAACTTGTGAGTATTTATACTATATGATAATACACCTGTATAATAATAATATAAATAAGAGCGTCATATAATGTACGTCATCGATGATGTCATATCTATGTTATACTCCCATAAATGATAAAAATAAATGTTATGAAGTGCGAATAAGAATATTCGTGGATATACTCTATAATAGCTTTATTTTAATCACATCTATTCTAATAGTTCGCTTTAATAATTATGTATTTATTTTTATTTTCAAAGATGATTGAAGATTTTCAATAAAAGAAACTATTTTTCAACGTCATCATGTGATATTTCGAAATTATTAGTTAGATCTACTATGAAAAAAATAATATAACTAATCTTGAAATATTTTTAAATGATCAAATTTGAGATATAAATATTTAACTATATCTGTATGAAAAATACTTTCAATTCTTCTGTAAAATTAGTTTAGTTAAAACTTAATAAACGATTATGAAAAATAATATCAGAATTTTTTTTGAATTGATAACATTTGTAAGAATATAGCGATATTAAGTGTTTGAATTATAACATCGAACAGTTTTATTCTACGAATAACAAATCATAGATGTAATTTCTGCAATAGCTTCATGAACGAAATCTATTTAAACTTATATGATTCTGTTTTATTGATTAGAGTTGTTTGTTATTGTATGACGCTAACATAAAGATTTAAATAAATGCAAAATAAGAATTAATCATGAAAGACTTAATTATGTGAAACAAAATTTCAGAGAAGATTCTGAGTTAAATACTAACAATCAAATTTTAATCAATTTATAGTTAAAAAAAGCTTAAGAATTATCAAAACGAACTTTAAGAGTATATTCACGAATATTCTTAGTCGACTCAATCACACTGCACAACATTTATTTTTATCATTTATGGGAGTATAACATGAATATGACATCATTGATGACGTACATTATATGACGCTCTTATTTATATTATTATTATTACACAGGTATATTATCATATAGTATAAATACTCACAACTTTCTTTCTTATTTTCATACATTCATACCAATATAAATTCACTGTTTATTATACTTCAGAATTATTAACAAAATGTTTGCTCAACCCATTGCTGCTATTACTCCAATGAATAATACTTGGACTAGAAACTATCAAACTATTGATTTTGGTAATTATGGTTATGGAATCTATTCACAAGATGTTGAACTTTATCGTAATCCATATACAGGACGTGTTAATGTTGAACGTGAAGTTGATTTTATTCCAATAGGTAATCAATATTCTCAACCTATAATTGGTATTCCTGCTGCTATTCATCAACATTATATAAATTAATGAGTTGAATATGTGAAATGAATATTGTATAAATTCTTTTTTGTGTTCTGTTTGATTTTGCTAAATAAAATAAAATGAGAAATATAAAAATAGATTCATTTTTTAATTTGATAGAAGTAAAGATGGCTATTACAATTGCCTTCACTCTTGTCCTTCATTGTATTTAATCATTGTCTATTAGTTGTTACTAAGGAAGTGGACGCAGATTTTATATTTATCTCTCATCTGTACTCACATAATCACATTCACATCTGGAGCAAATTCCACATGGGCGATTAAAAAATAAATCATTGGAAAAAGAGTAATGCATGGATTTTTTAACAGTTTTAAGAACTAAATTTTCAATTGGAGATATTATGTTGTAATAACAATGTCGTGTTTTTACTTCCTTGTATTTTACCATCATGTTTGGAATAATATTGTTGTATTCTGTTAACATTTACATGACACTATGGCAATATTTTTAGAAAAAAATATTCCTTTGAGATGACGAGGCAGAAAAATAACGACCCTCTTAGTCAGCTAGTTAAGCAGAGTTTAGTTAATTGTTTAAAAAAAAATATTTTATAAATAAGAATAAGACATTCTTTGTTTGGCGTTTATATTAGAAGAAAACAATTATGCATATTAAAAATATCTTCTTTTTTCTTTTTTTTGTTTCTTCAGTTTTAAAAACTAATTCTAAAAATATTTTTTTTCATAAAGCAGTTTCATCAAATTAAATACACAACAAACTTCTTACTTTATTCTGAACAGAAGAAAATATCTTTTGGTAAGTATTGACTTTTTGTATAGGTTAGAAAAAACAAAAACAATCTTAATTCTATTAGATCATTACAGACGATATTGAATGAAAATTTCTAGACAAAAAATATTCATATTGAAGAAGAGTAGAAAATGTTTTGAAAAAAAATCAGATATCCACAGATTTTGTTTATTAAGAACTGTAGAAAACTATAGAGAAAATAGAAGATTATTGTAATAAACTACCATATGTGTTGGCCAAATCATACTCCTCTGTATAAGTTCTATGAAGATAAATGAATATTTTTTTTCTCATATTCCTTTTATTATTTGAAAGACTTTTATAAATAAAAAAAAAATATAATTATACGAATGAGATTTTTTTTGCAGTTAAACTATATATTTGTGGTACTTCAACATAACAGATCGGTGTTTAATATTTATAATCGTGATTTTTCAATCTAAATTCTTGTCTAAGATCACTATCGTTAAACATCTCTTAATTTTTAATAAAAATAATCAAAATGTTGTATTTATCCTTGTTTTTTTTTTAATTTCCGAATCGACAAGTCGAGGATGGTGGGAGAAGAAAATAGAGTCATCGTTAACATAATACTATGAAGCCGAGCAGAAGAATATTTGTTTTTCAAAAATTTAAGAAAACTATAGTTTCATCACTGTATCTATATTTTTTAAGTTTTACAATTAGCTTATATAAAGGAAAATATTAATTAGAATCTATTTCTCGAATTACCTTAGAAAATACACATTATACTTAATATTTTATGTAAACCAATTAGAAAACGATTATTCTCTCCTACCTGAATAGAATTATATCGTGAGAGGTACCGTATTTTATTTAGAAACGTAAGAAAAAATAGTTTTCTAATTGTACAAAATTGCTTTAGAATATGGAAGTTATTTATAGAAAATACACAAAGAAAAAGTTTTTCTTATTACAATATTAAAAATAAGTAAAGCGTTATGACGTTTACTCTACACCATTTCTGCATGTTTGTAGAACGCATTTTAAATGTCATTTTTCTTCTTTCGATGATTAAAAGAAAAAAAAATACAAAAATTACATTTTAAATTAAACAACTAGTTTGACTGTATTCTCAATCAAGAAATTGCAGAGATGTAGATTCTACAAAAGAAAAGTTTAATTATTTCAATTGGAGACAAATGTATATTAGAATATGTTGAAAAGATGGATTGTTTTTGTATTGATATCTGTTCGAGTTAAATACAAATATTTGAACAGATTGATACATATTATTTGCAACAAAATTCGATTTATGATTATTTAAGATAAAAACGAGAAACTATAATTAGGAAAATAGTTTAATAAGATCTAAAAACAGCATTTCTACGAGTAAAGAGCTGACTCAATCTACAGACGATCATTACTTGTTTTTAATAATACAGGATAAATATCAAAGATTTTCATGTCGATCAAAACAGCTCCATTCATAGAATGTGTACGCAGGTTGATAAGGCACCGATAGTAAACGATCGTAAATAGTTGTAAGTTAGTCATATGCTGAATTGAATATATCGACCATACACCTGTACTCTATTGAATTTTCCAATAACTAATTCAATAGTAAATAATAATAAAATTAATAATTTTTGTTTTTCTTTGTAGATTATTTACATCAATCAAACGAACAGCAAGTATTAATTAAAATAAGTAAGCTGCTAAGACTGGTTGGAGGATCCAATTCTATTTTTTCTTAGTCAGTATCTCTGATATATAAAA